GAGAGAGAGAGAGAGAGAGAGAGAGAGAAACCAGGCTAAAAGTGCCTCCTCCCAAATCCCAAGTCCTTAATTAAATGCATGGCAAGAACTGGGTGAAGCACATCTGTTTTCAATCTGCAAAGCCCTTTGATGGCATCAGATGTTCTTTTCCCAAATCAAGCGGCGGAGGGCGGGGGGGGGGGAAGGAGGTTTGAAAATCCTGGCCTGTCTGTGGCAGCTCAGAGCCCAGGCTGGCTCCTATCAGAGAACCACAAAGGCTTTTCTTCCCTTGCCATCAGCTGACCCCAGCAAAACCACACTCACCACACCCTCTCCTGTCCAGTTATCCTTCCTGTTCAGAGTAGCATTCACACTTTACCTGCTGCTTCTCCATTCTTTTCTCTCTTTTGAGGTGATAAAACTTGGAACACTTTGCACAACGCTTCTGGCTGTACCTTTAATAAACTCATGCCACTAAATGAAAAATAGGGAGTCTGAAGTGGCAAGAATGATGTTGCATCTGTGATACAACATCTGGTGTCCATACACACGTGTGCTGCCCCTATGAATTCCATAGCACTATATTTATAAAATAAGAATATAATGGCCCCAGCGGGAAACAGGATGTTGAACTAGAGGGCCTTTGGTCAGTTCCAGCATGGCTCTTGCTATCTACTTGTGAAACACATGTGTATGTGTATGTATTTATCTTCCTAATATTACACAGTGTAAGGTGTATGGATGTCATGTCATATACCTTGCAGGCATGATCTGACCAAAGTTAAACGCTCTTTAGTCATATTGATTTTGGGGGGGAAGGACAGGGTTTCTTTCACTTTTCTTTCACTTTTTGTTTCTTAAATAACTGGAAACATTTATTTTTGGCTAGATAATGCCCTGAACTATCCACGGAAGAAAAATAACTTTTTAGACACGATCCTACCAAAGCAAAGCAATTGTGAAATCCAATTGGTTAAAGTTAGCAACCTGTCCTTAACATTGGCTGAATCATGTCCATTATGATTATTGTAGATTATTACTGCAGCATAATAAATATACTTGTTTCATGCTCTATTTATAAAGCTGTATTAACGATATATATGCACTTAAACCGTTAGGTCCATTTAAAAAACGTTGGCATCCCTGGGGCAGAATAATTTCACGACACGGTTTGTGTTTGTAGGTTCATCAGTTATGACTGCATCATTCTAAGACTATCACCATCGGCACCATCCAGTGATGATGCCTATATAGATAGAGGAGAGGGTAACCTCGTGATAGAGTTACTTGTCTTATCTTCAAAGGCGAAAGCTTTCGATGGAGTGCATTCCTTGGTGTGGCACTGAACACCAAGTGATAAGTAAAGAGGCGCGCTCATGGGTTTTCCAGCTTGACGCGCAAGGCAAAAGGATGATGCGCTCGCGCGCTCCTCTTGGGTTCTGCCTCCTTTTCAAGGAGAACTGATGCAAAACTTCGTTACACCCAGCGGGAGAGACTTCCGCGTGTTCAAGTCCGACAGAAGCTGAGCTGATTAGACTGGACGTGGACGATTTCCACAAATGCAAATGAGATTCTCCAGCAGGACGTTGCTTAAACTAATCCTCGGGAGTTAATTGGAAAAGCAAATAAGCAGGCTGGGTTGGCAGTTACCTCCGGCGTCTGCCTGGACTTCCCAGCTGTCCTTTGGAGTTGTCTGGAGTTTTTTTTTGGGGGGGGGCAGAGAGGCGGGAGAGAGAGGGATCCGTGAGCTGGGGTCTCTGTTGCGGAAAGGTCTTGCTCGCTCCTTCGCTCTGAGAGATGAGATGCGAGCAAGCGGGTGAGAAGGAGGCGAGTCTCTTTCGGAATCCGAGCTGGGTTTCTTTTTGGCGCGGCTGGATTGGAAGGGGGGGGAAGGGGAGGCGCGGGTGGGAAGGGGGAAGGAGGAGGTCTGTAAAACGTCAGAAACAGCACAAAGCCTTTGCCACGTAATTAGGGGCTCCCATTAAGGCTGGATTTGCCCTCCCCAGGGTCCAGCGAGCTCCCACACCCACCCCACAAGCCAGGCTGTGCC